TAGAGAGGCATGGGCAGGCTTAAGGTAGCAAACAAGGGATGGAAGGGCAAAGGAGGAGACTGGTGAGAGCTGGAGCTGTGGCCTGAGGGATGGGCTGCTTGTTGGTCTGGAGGGATGTAGCTCTACTGAGACACATGTCTGAAGCAGGGAGGGATGGGAGAGAACGACCCATCCCTTTCTATGCCCTCTCTCCTATTTCCTGCAAGGAATGCCTCCCATGGGCTGAACCAACCAGGAGCCAGCCAGAAAGGTCAGTCTCTTGGGGCACAGACAGGAGGGAGAAGGCATCAGGGGAGGGGAGCACATGGAGAATAACCAGCACCAAGAAATAGTGTAAGTGTGGAGTTCACTGTGATTTCTGAGACATGAGGACAAGTTTTAGGGAATTAAATTTAAGGAAGGAAATTTAATAGAACAGAAAAATAGCGTTAAGTTGTGAGAAATCTAAACTAGGAGCATGCAAATGATGTGGGTTCCTAAGGGACAGTCATTTTGAAGAAAACTGTGTAAACCTTCCTCTTCCCGAAATCACTACTATTAATAAAGAATTCAAAAACTTCTTTAGGACCCATTTTATAGCCTTCTGATTAGTCTTACTTTTCTCCATTTGATTCTCTGATTTTTCCCTTAAGACGTAGATTTTTAAGTGCCTTAAAATAATTTCAATAATTATTAGAAAACTGAAATTTTTATGAGGAGGAAATTAGCTTGTTTCCCCAAGTAAAAATAAGTGGAGTATATAATATTGTTTAGATAGACTATATCTATGTCTAATGATTCTTGTTAGGAGGGTATCCATTTTGTTGATCAATTTGCTTATATTAAAATCTCCATCTTATACAGTATTCATGTGATACCAGGTATTTGTGATCTTAGATGTTTGAGGATCTTTTCTTTGGCACAGCAGTATCTCTTTGTCATCTTCTAAATATTACTATAAGATATAATACAACATAACAGATTATATATGTAATATAGGATGTGGTATTTGCTAAAGTGCTCTTTCTAAAATATATTGAGTTGAGAGGGAAAAATAGAAGAGAGGACCATGAGCGCAAATTTTCTCTCTTTTTATTTTTTATTTTTTTGAGGTGGAGTCTTGCTGTGTCGCACAGGCTGAAGTGCAATGGTGTGATCTCGGCTCACTGCAACCTCTGCCTCCCAGGTTCAAGCAATTATCCTGCCTCAGCCTCCTGAGTAGCCTGCTACCATGCCTGGCTAATTTTTGTATTTTTAGTAGAGACGGGGTTTCACCATGTTGGCCACTGGTTTTGAACTACTGACCTCAAGTGATCCGTCCACCTGGGCCTCCCAAAGTGCTAGGATTACAGGTGTGAGCCACCACACCTGGCCAACTTTTTTTTTTTTTTTTATAGCAGCATTCAGCTCTCTCCATGCAATCTTCCCCTGCCCCCCCCGCCATCTTTCTTCATTTCTTTTCCCTGAACTTCATTTATTCACCCTATCTTGATTATATCATGTAGCAGTATCAGAATAGGCCTTAAAACTATTCCCACAAAATGTATTGTGAAGAATTATGAATTGCTATGACACTCTCAGTTGCCTATACAAAATGCTGCTTTCAAAAAATTTCACATACGTAGAATATACTTAGAGATTATTAGGTTTTATGCAAGTTTTCCATTTGAAGCTGTTCTAAAATTAAGAGCATAATGCTTTTTCTGGCACTTGAAAATAGAATAACCAGTGCATGATAATGGTTCATATAAGAAACAAAAAACCAAGAAAAATTAAGAAGTTTTGGCAGGAGTAGAAAACTGTTTTGAGTGGAGATTTAAGAATAGATGGGGAGTTAACATGCAGAGAGATACTAGGAAGCCATCCGGATGGCAGAGTCAAAGCAAAGAAGATCCTTTTGTCTGGCCTAGACTGTGAGTGAGGTCTAGAAGGCCCAAGCTACATTTAATAGAGAAAGAAAGCAAAAAGGAACTAGAAAACAAGAGAGGTTTCTGAGGCAGGTTGGAATGAACCCATAAATTATAAAACAAAAGCAGGCCAGGTATGGTGGCTCATGTTTGCAATCCCAGCGCTTTGGGAGGCCTAGGCAGCAGTTTAAGACCAGACTGAGCAACATAGTGAGACCCCATCTCTACAGGGTAGTTTGTTTTGTTTGTTGTGTTTTGGATGGAGTCTGTTCTGTTGCCCAGCTGGTGCATGTGGTGTGATTCGGCTCACTGCGCAACCTCCGCCTCCCGGTTCAAGCCGATTCTTCACCTCAGCCTACCCAGTAGCTGAGATTACAGGGCATGCGCACAACGCCCCAACTAATTTTTGTATTTTCAGAGAGAACACGTTCTGACATGTTGGCCAGATTGGTCTTGACTCCTGACCTCAAGTGGGTCTGGCCTGCCTTGGCCTCCTAAGTGATTAGGATTACAGGCATGAGCTATTGCCACCAGCCTACAGGAGAGTTTTTAAATAAAAATTAGCTGGAGTGTGAGTGGTGTCCGCGCTGCCCAGCTACTTAGGAGGCTGAGGCAAGAGGTCCAGGAGTTCGAGGCTCTGAGTGACAGGAGTGAACCCTGTCTCTAAAATAAATAAATAAGACAAAACCAAGAACATTGATGGATGAACCGCATGAAAGCGTAGTTTTGAGAATGTCTCTGCCAAATTAGTGGACCATCTCTGGTGATGGCGGAGTGGGCATAATGCTTCACTTTTCTCTGTTTTACCTCCTTTTCTGAACTCACTCCACCCTATCATACTCGTTGTTTGCGGACAGGTGGTTTATGGGCGAACTGCTGGCATAGTCCTGGAAGTTACCTCTCTAAGTCGCTAACACATTCAGATAGGTTTCATTGGTTGATAATAGCATTAGCGTAAGAGAAGTTCCATTTTGCTTCATCTCCAGACCCTCATCAGTTTCATTTTGCCTTGGACCTGGACTGATTTCCTGACCCTGCAGTGCACTGGCGGTCCATAGAAGCAGGCCTGCCTATGACAAGTTTTCCCCTCCCAAGGGGCCTCTACATTTCGCCAGAGCCGTATGTTTCTTGTTGCTGAGTGGGCGAAGTTTTTTTCGATACCACGCTGAATTATGAAGGGACAATTTTTTCCTTTCACATGATGAAATAGATTGGTAGATTAGTAGGAGAATCATTTTTCTTGCAATGGAAACAATTTCTTTTTTGTAAATAGATGGTGTCTTACTTGTTGCCCCAGGCTAATCTCAAACTCCTGGCTCAAAGCAATCCTAATGCTCAGCGCTCCAACCATCAAATTACTGAAGAGACAATTTCTTTCTCCAGCTATATGCTTTATAGGTATTTAGTAGCTTCTCTTATTTTCCTCAGTATATTATTATATTGACTTCACTTTATTTATTGATTGATTTGTGATGAGTGAGACAGTGTCTCCATTCTGTGCTCAGGCTGGAGGTGCCGTGGTGGGATCTTTGATTCACTGCAGTCTCACCTCACTGGGGCCTCACAGAGTCCTTCCACCTCAGCCTCCCCAAGTTGCTGGGACTATAGGAGTATGACACCATGCGCCGCGCTGGATTTTGTATTTTTTGTAGAGATGGGGTTTGCCGCTATGTTGCTATGCCTCGGTTCCAAACTCCTGGAGCTCAAACAATGGTGCCTTCCTTGGCCTCCCAAAGTACTGGTGATTAAGGGTGTGAGCCACCGTGCCGGCCCACTTTGGAGGTTTTTTTTTTTTTTTTTTATGTCTGGATAGTCCTCTGTTTCCTCTGAGTTTCATGCCCCACTCTGTATATTTGTTCTGGTCTCTGACTTTTATCGTGGAAGTTTCTTCCAAATATCTATTGACCATTGGTATTAACAAGCTGATTGAAGCTCCAGCTTGAGAGGTTTGGTGACTGGTGTGCTTTACCAGAAGGTAATCTGGTAGGGATCTAGGTCTTTCTTTGGGAGAAGCTTAACCAACATAAGTGCCTTTGGGCCTTTTTGTCTGGAGATCATTCAGTTTCTCCAGAAAAATTCTTCTACTGTACTCATTAATTGCTGAGAATGAGTCTAGCTGCCATTGTTTGGGGAGCCCATCTGGGAAAGAAGGGAAAGACTCCACGGATGGTAAATAGTAGAGGGGATGTACATTCGAGTTGTGTGACTGTGAACCCCTCGCGGGGGGCTACTATGGTTATTGCCTCCTGTATTGAATCCTAAGAGGGGCTTCACAGCATTTTTTTCCAATTTTCTTTTGTGGTAAATACACACATAAGATTTACCATTTTTCATGTTTTAAGAGTACAGTTCAGTGGTATTAAATACATTCGTAATGTCATGCAACTATCACTGCCATTTATCTCCAGAACTCCTTTCATCTTGTAAAACTGAAACTCTGAACCCATTAAACAATAATTCCCCATTCCTTCCTCCCTCCAGCCCCTGGCAACCTCTTTTTCTACTTTTTTCTAATTGAGACGGGGTCTTGCTCTGTTGTCCAGGCTGCAATACAGTGGTGTGAACACAGCTCACTGTAGCCTTGACCTCCTGGGTTCAAGCAGTCCTCTAACTTCAGTCCCCTGAGTAACTGGGACCACAAGTACATGCCACCACATCTGGCTAATTCTTTTTAACTACTTGCAGAGATGAGGTCTCCCTATATTGTCCAGGCTGGTCTTGAACTCTTGGGCTCAAGTGATCCTCCCACCTCAGCCTCCCAGAGTGCTCAGATTATAGGTGTGAGCCACAGCGCCTGACTTCTACTTTCTGTCTCTTTAATTTTTCGCTCTTCTAAGTACCTCATGTAAGTGGAGTGATAGTATTTGTCTTTTTGTGACTGGTTTATGTCACCTAGCATAATGTCCTCAATGTTCATTCATGTATATGTTTGAGTTTTTTCCCTTTTTAAGGCTGCATAATATTTCAGTTTTATACATTTTTACATCAAGTTTTTTCTTATTGTATATAATAGTCCCTCTTGGTTGTGTATGTACGACAGTTAGGAAGACTATGTATATGATTATATTTAATTATTTGCATGGTAGAGATTTATAATTTGTTCTTAATTTGCAGCTTTTTTCAAGGAGCAAACCTCCCAGGGGCCTGTATGTTTATGGAGATGTTGGTAAGTGTGTTAAAATAAGTTTTGGGTGGGCAAAACAGAAAGTTTCTCAGCTTTTGCTCAGGGATAATTTCTATTTCTATTCCTCAATCTATTACCAGCAAGGGAATAGGATGAGGCAGGGTAAGGCAGGGAGAGAAGAAAGGGGAGAGAGGGCAGTATCTCAGCTTTTACTTTACTTCTCTTAGGATATGGCTATAGTCTAGGGCAGAATTAGTCACCATGTTAGGGTGCAAACATTATTTAATGTATAACATAATTAATCTCAGGGAAGGAAATCATCTACAGTAGGTTATTAGACAAATCAGGATTCCATGACTCATTAACTCAGCTTAATACTTTTTTAAAAAATAAGCTGTTCTTTTTTACTTTTAATTTCCAGTAATATTTCTAGTCATAACCTAAGCACTAAGATGAATAATTTAGTCGTTATTATCTTTAATGTAGTTGATAGTAGATACTCTTAATGCATAAGTGATGACATTTCCTTGGTCTCCCAGTTGTAGACATTGGGCAGAAAGACTCACATTTTGATGGAAACCTTCTGAGTCGTCACTTCTTTCCAGGTTTTCCTAATCATGTAGTGTCTTGCTTATGAAGTCTTCCCTGACCTCATTCTTACTGAAATATTCTGTTTTGTGGTTTCTATTTTCTTCAAACAAATCCTTTTCTCTTAGTCTTAAACCTCTCCTTGGCCACCCTCAGTCACTGATATCATGAAGGGGTTTCTACTTGGCTTTATTGCCTCCTTGCTTTCGATTATTTCTTTCGTGTCTTTTTTAATTTTTTAATTTTATTTTTTTCTAATCCCTCAGTTTACTGTCAATCAATTATTTCTTCTACTGGCACACTCAAAACTCACATTCACATGTAACGACGTCAGTTTTGTACTAGACTAATATTCACACTCTAGGCTCCCCTATAGCCACGACACATTTGCATTATGAGGGAGTAATGGCAGGGAATATTAGTAACATTTTTAGGAAAAGAAAAAAAAAGGGCATTGAATAAGTAGTTTTTTTGTTTGTTCGTTTTTGAGACGGAGTCTTGCTCTGTCACCCAGGCTGGTGCGGTGGCATGATCTCGGCTCACTGCAAGCTCTGCCTCCCGGGTTCACGCCATTCTCCTGCCTCAGCCTCCCAAGTAGCTGGGACTACAGGTGCCTGCTACCACGTCCGGCTAATTTTTTTGTGTTTTTAGTAGAGATGGAGTTTCACCGTGTTAGCCAGGATGGTCTCGATCTCCTGACCTTGTGATCCGCCCTCCTCAGCCTTCCAAAGTGCTGGGATTACAGGCGTGAGCCATGGCGCCTGGCCGAATAAGTAGTTTTAATGCCTTAAAGATAAAACTGTTCCTTTCTAAACTGTTCTTTCCTTTTCTAATTTGTTTACTGATGTCTTGCATTGAATATCCGTTTTATATTTCCAGATTTAGCTAATCTAATAAAAGAGAATAATTTAGTTCACAAAAGTGAACATTAGAGATTGCCCCTTAAAATTCCTTAAGTTCTTGAAATTACAGAAAAGAAGCTCAAACTATTCTTTTTCTTAGTTCATTGGCTAATTGGTACTTTTGAGACCAATGTATACTTACTTCTTATTTAGAAAGCAATTTATAATAGACACTTGATCAATTTTATGTTCCTGCACCTTTGGGCACCATTAAAGATTCTCATCCTGTTGTCAGGGCTCATTCTCTACCTCCTGAGAACATTTACTTCCAGTACCTTCACTTTCATATTAAGTCATTGCTAACATCAACAACTTTGTTCCTCCTGTTACCTTAACCAGCTGACCATAAATGGAGATGGTTGATAAAGCACAACTGCTTCCACTTCTGCAAAAGGACTTTTTTTTTAAACCCTATGAACGTTGTTGGATTTTAGTTTAGAAAATACAGCCATATGGTAACTAACTGAAGGGAAGCACATTACAAGTTATTCATCTGAGTGTTTGAAAGCAATAGAAAAGATGTGATAGTACGGGATGTTCATATAGTTTGGGTGTGTGGCAACCTTTGTTTGGAAACATCCTTATAATATAGAGAGGGGAAGAGAAAGGAATTCTGAAATGGGAAGTGAGATGAACATTTTGGTGGCTATAATAAGTTTAGTTCAGACCACTTATAAAATAGGTAATCTGCCATGCATGATGGCTCATACCTGTAATCCCAGCACTTTGGGAGGCCGAGGTGGGTGGATTGCTTGAGCCCAGGAGTTCAAGACCAGCCTGGGCAACATGGCAAAACTCTGTCTCCACAAAAAATACAAAAATTAGCCTGGCATGGTGGCATGTGCCTATAGTCCCAACTACTCCAGAGGCTGAGGTAGAAGGATCACTTGAGCCTGGGAGGTCAAGGCTGCAGTGAGCCATGATTATGCCACTGCACTCCAGTCTGGGCAACAGAGTGAGACCCCCATCTCAAAAATGAAATAAAATAGGTAATAAAAGATGAAGTCTTCATCTGGGGGGCTCTCTGGGAGAATAGCCTCAAAATGCCACCATAAGCTCTTATTCTTTATTCTTTTCCTTTTTTGGACTTGGGAAACAGGTACTAACTTTTAAAGAAGGCTGGGCATGGTGGCTCATGCCTGTAATATCAGCACTTTGGGAGGCTGAGGTAGGATAATTTCTTAAGACCAGAAGTTTGAGACTAGCCTGGACAACAAGGTGAAACCCCGTCTCTACAAAAAAATTAAAAAATTAGCTGAGCATGGTGGTGTGTGCCTGTAGTTCCAGGTACTCAGTAGGATGTGGTGGGAGGATCACTTGAGCCTGGGAGATTAAGGTTGCAGTGAGTTGAGATCGCACCACTGCACTCCAGCCTGGGCTACAGAGCAAGACTGTCTCAAAATAAATAAATAAATACATGAATAAATAAAATAAAATAAAAATAAAATAAAAATAAATAAACATGCTTGAGCTTAGGATTTCGAGACCAGCCTGGGCAACATAGTGAGACCTCCTCTCTTATGTTTTTTTTTTTTGTAAGAAAAATTTAAATAAATAATTTTTAAGGAGACTTCATGGGATAGAGAATACCTACCTGGTAGCACTCCCTTCCCACTTTTCATTCTTGCACTCTATTTGGGCTTTGTCCTGCTCACTTCACCTCTTTCTTCACAGATGTGTTGAGAGGATTGACCCAGGTGGAACCTAAATCCTTGGAACTGCAGTAGGATTGATGTATGAGTTGGAGGGATTATTATCATGGTTCAATCTTGAAATGAATTATTTTTGTTGTAAAATGTTTATCACATCTCATATAGAAGCCAAAAGCTGTGGTAGTAGTATTTTGTGGCTTCATTCATACCCAACAGCTGACTTTCTCACAACAGAGCCTCAGCTCTTGACCAGCCGACTGCGGTGGTGATGGCAGGGTTAATGAATTCTCTGGTACACTAGAAGAGAATAAAAGTACATTTTGCTTATCAGCCCCTTTTCTGCTGCCTCCTGGTTTCACCTCACATGTTTCACATTGACACAGATTCTAATTTCACCAGTTGAAAGGTAGGCTGGTTTTAAGGTTAGGAGTTAGGAAGCATAGTTCTCCCTGGCTTGGATGCAGGGATACATGTGCCTACTACACACCTCAGCTGTATTATAGAACCTATTGCTCCTGTGCTACAAACCTGTACAGTGTGTTACTGTATTGAATACTGTAGGCAGTTGTAACACTATGGTATTTGTTTATTTACACATATCTAAACAGAGAAGGTGCAGTAATAATACAGTATAATAGATAAAATATGGGATGCCTGTTTGACTATGAACGAGTCAGTGAGTGAGTGGTGAATGAATATGAAGGCTGAGGACATTTCTGTAGGCTACTTTATACAAGATGTTATCAGTGCTGTGTACTTGAGCTACATGAAATTTATTTAAAAAAAATTAATTGTGCTTCCATTTTAGGATAGCTATGACATCACTAGGTGATAGAAATTTTTCAGCTTCTTCATAATCTTTTGGGACCACCATTGGATATGTGGTCCATTGTTGACCAAAATGTCATTATATGCGTTACTGTTTATAGAAATGCAGTTGATTTTTTGATGACCTTGTATCCTATGATCTTGCTAAATTTAATTATTAACTCTAGTGGTGATTTGGTAGATTCTTTAGGATTTTTTTTTGTGTGTGTATATACAATTAGGTTATCTGCCAATAAACACAATTTTACTTCTTTAAAGTTTTATGCATTTTATTTCTTTTTGCTGCCTCCTTGCACCAGCTAGGACTCCCAGTACAATGTTGAATAGAAGTAGTGAGTGTAGACATCCTTTTCTGTGTCAAATTGGAGGGGAGAAGTGTTCAGTCTTTTACAAATAAGCATATTAACTGTATGTTTTTAAAAATGTATTCAATCGTTTTTATTATGGTAAAACACATAACATAAAATTTTCCCTTTTAAACATTTCCAGCATATAATTCAGTATCATTAAGTCTGTTCACATTGTTGTACAACTATTACCACCATCCATTTTCAGAACATGAGTGTAGACATCCTTGCCTTTGTCAAATTGTAGGGAAGAAGTGTTCAGTCTTTTACCATTAAGCATATTAACTATAGGTTTTAAAAAATGTATTCAATTGTTTTTATTATGGTAAAACACATTATATAAAATGTACCCTTTTAAACATTTTCAGTGTGTGATTCAGTAGCATTAAGTCTGTTCATATTGTTGTACAACTATTACCACCATCCATCTTCAGAACATTTTTATCTTCCCAAACTGAAACTCTGTGTCCATTAAACAACAACTTCCTATTCTACCTCTCTCCCACATTTTCCACATCCCACCCTCTGACTCCCTTGGCCTGGCAACCACCATTCTACTTTCTGTCTTTATGAATTTGATTATTCTTCAATACCTTATATAAATGGAATCATACAATATTTTTCCTTTTGGGTCTGGATTATTTTACTTAGCAAAATATCTTCAAGTTTCATCCATATTATTGCACATTGCATATGAGTTGGATTCCTTTTTAAGGCTGAATAATATACTTGGTATTCATGGGGGATTGGTTTCAGGATCCCCTTGGATACCAAAATTTGAGAATGCTCAAGTCCCTTATGTAAAATGGTGTAGCCTTTGCATATAAACTTTGTGTGTTGTCCTGTATACTTTAAATCCTCTAGATTACTTATAACAATGTAAGTGGTACATAAATGCTATAATAGTTGTTATACTGTATTGTTTTTTGTTTATATTATGATGATAGGATGATTATTACTATTTTGAAGCAGAATCTCGCTCTGTCACCCAGGTCCTGAAGTGTAGTGGCATGATCTCAGCACACTGCATCCTCCACCTTCCGGGCTGAAGTGATCGTCCTGCCTCAGCTTTTTGAATAGCTGGGACTACAGGCATGCACCACAATGCCCAGCTAATTTTTATATTTTTTTGTAGAGATGGGATTTTGCCATGTCACCCAGGCTAGTCTCAATCTCCTGGACTCAAGTAATCTGCCTGCCTTGGACTCCCAAATTGCTGGGATTATAGGCGTAAGCCAATCCACCTGTTCCTTATTTTTTATTTTAAAAATAATTTTGATCCACTGTTGGTTGAATCCGGGGATGTGGAAACTAGATACAGAGGGCCAACTGTATCATTTTATGTATATACCACTTTTTGTTTGTCCATTCATCCATTAATGGATGTTTGGGTTGTTCTATCTTTTGACTATTGTGAATAATTCTGCTGTAAATATTGAGGTGTAAGTATTTGTTTGAATCCCTGCTTTCAGTTGTTTTGTGCATATACTCAGAAGTGGAATTGCTGGATCCTATGGTCACACTATGTTTAGTTATTTATTTTTTTGGACACAAAATCTCTCTCTGTTGCCCAGGCTGGAGTGCAGTAGCACGATCATAGCTCACTGCAACCTTGAACTCCTGGGCTCAAGCAATCCTCCCATTTCAGCCTCCCGAGTAGCTGGGACTACAGGCATGCACCACCAAACCTGGCTAATATTTTAAATTTTTAGTAGAGATGAGATCTTGCTATGTTGCCCAGGCTGGTCTTCTTGAACTCCTAGTCTCAAGCAATTCTCCCTCCTAGGCCTCCCAAAGTGCTGAAATTATAGGCGTGAACCACTGCACTTGGCCTGTGTTTAATTTTTTGAAGAACTGTCATAGTGTTTTCCACAGTGACAGTACCATTGTTATGCTCACTAGCAATGCACAGGTTCCAGTTTTTATACATCCTTGCTAACACTTGTTATTTTCTGTTTCTTTTTTTTTAATAGTCGTTCTAATGTAAGTAAAGTGATATCTTGTAGTTTTGATTTGCTTTACCCTAATGATTAATTAATGTATTTTTGGTTAGATAATTCATGACTTTATTCTGAATCTATAAGTATACTACACTGCATGCAGCAGAATTTGAAACTTTGTTAACTTTTCTGGGTAAATATAATTACTTAAAATCTACTGCTAATCACTATATCAAGAGATACCGTACTGAATATTTTTGCAATGAATGACTTGCCATCAAAATGACTTCTTCATAAAAAAATGTTTGGTGGATTGTTTTTTCATATACAAAAGCACTCTGACATTCAAATGGCATGGGCCCTGTGCCATCTTGTGGCATGGAGGAAACCCAAAAGATAAGATTTAGATCTTCTTACTTTCTGAAGTGCCTTTGGATTCTATTAATTGCAAAGGAATTACTAGACAAGAAGTAATCTTGTGGTGGTGGGAGACGAGGAAGTAGGGAGGATGTGAGACTGGACCAGCACGTGCTGGTCTGGCTTACTGAGGAATGCCAGGTACAAACTGAGCTTGGGCCACTGACCCGAATGCCCTAGGCTTCCTGAGAGGGGATAAGACATTTTATGCTACCTGCATTAAATTCTCAGGCTGTTGGATATTCAATTACAGTAGTTTCCCCTTATTCATAGAGGATAGTTCCAGTGGATGCCTGTAACCTCACATAGTCCTGAACCCTGTGTTTTTGTTTTTGTTTTTTTTTTTAAGACGGAGTCTCTCTCTTGTCGCCCAGGCTGGAGTGCAGTGGCGCCATCTCACTGCAACCTCCGCGTCCCAGGTTCAAGCTATTCTCCTGCCTCAGCCTCCTGAGTAGCTGGGATTACAGGTGCCCACCACCATGCCCGGCTAATTTTTGTACTGTTAGTAGAGACAGGGTTTTGCCATGTTGGCCAGGCTGGTCTCGAACTCCTGACCTTATGTGATCTGCCCATCTTGGCCTCCCAAAGTGCTGGGATTACAGGCGTGAGCCACCGCGCCCAACTTATATATACTATGTTTTTAACAGAGAAGGCCACTAAGTGACCAACGGGAGGGTAGTGAATACAGTGTGGATATGCCAGACAAAGGGATGATTTATGTCCTGGGTGGAATGGAATGGGATGGCATGAGGTCTCTTCATGCTACTCAGGAGAGCTGCATAATTTAATTCTTGAGGATTGTTTGTTTTTGGAGTTTTCCATTTAATATCTTTAGACTATGATTGATTGTGGGCCTTGAGTAACTGAATTCTCAGATAAGAGTATTCTACTCTACTGATTCGATTGTAGTCATTAAAAGTTTTAGTGTTGAAAATTAGATAATTATAAGGATTGACTGTATCAGAATTTCCTCAAGTAGGTTTTATTTTGAGAGATCTATGTTCTCAGCTTTTAAAAAATGGAAGTGTTAAAATTGGCAATTCTCTAGCTCTAATCTACATATATGATTCATGTTCAATATTTATGTTAGATACTAATCTTTATATTTCATCTTTCTTCTCTTTTCTTTCTTCTTTTTTTTTTTTTTTTTGAGTTGGGGGTCTTGCTGTGTTTCCCAGGCTGGTCTTCCCAGGCTGGTCTTGAATCCTTGGGCTCAGACAATCCTCCCATCTTGGCCTCCCAAAGTGCTGGGATTATAGGCATGAGCCACCGTGCCCAGCCTCTTCTCTTATTTTTCATTTTTGAATTTTCCTGTAGTGCCTAAAACAGTTCCTCATGCATAGTAATGACCCAATAAATTTTTAATTAATTATTTTATTTATGCTAGTGTCTTTTGGAAGAGAAGACTGTAAATCTTGCCAGTTTATGAACATAGTTTTCAGGGGGAAATAGCCCCTGTAATGTTAAGTAATTGTTGTGTTTCCTATAAACAGGATTTTAACAGAAAAGAGTAATATCAGCATTTTATTTTTAGCTAGTTTAACATACAAAGTAAGCTCCCCCTTCTAAAGAAGTGACACAGTCTTCAGCTTCCCAGTGGAAGAGTATGGTTTCATTATCTCAAAGCTAATGAACAATCTTTACAGCAATCAGTACATACTATTTAATAGTATTCTTATTTTTTTTTGTTTTTGTTTTTAAGGTACAGGAAAAACAATGGTGATGGACATGTTTTATGCTTATGTGGAAATGAAGAGGAAAAAACGGGTTCATTTTCATGGTTTCATGCTAGATGTGCACAAAAGTAAGCAATGATCTGAAAGAAGTTTTTTTCAGTGGGGAAACACTACAGAATGGTTTTCTTGATTGAATGAACATATACTCTTTTTAAAAATTAGATTTTTGCTTTCAGTAAGATTTTATTTGGTTCCATTTGTTTTGTGCTATGTTGAAACAGTCAGTAATGTGTCCAGAATTGGTCCTTAAGACTACTTTAATACTTTCAAATCAGAGAACAGAGATTACTATATGAAGCTCAGGCGTTTTCTGTTTCTACTAAGGGCCAATAAAAAATGTTAAAAATGCACCTGTTTAACTAAGTGATTCTTGATTAGGTCCTTTACTCTGTGTTACCTTAGCATGTAGGCATTCAGTTTGAGTAGGCATAGAAGCTTTATTGCTTTCCTAGTGATCTTATGTTATTCCAGTTTTGCACGATTTGTTTACCAGTTGCACTGTAACCTCCCCAGAGCAGGAATCATGTGATTTTTTCCTCTAATACTTGCAGCATTTAGTACACACATAATGAATGAAGTGGACTGGCCTTAGTGTATTAGGCTAGAGATAAGGACACATTCTGATTGCATATGCTAGACATAATATACACTACTCGGGCAGGATCATATCCTCTGCTCTCATCCCTGAAATACACGACTAAGGTGGATGTGTTGATGCATCTAGTCACTTGTCTATTACCTTGTAATTTCTGAAATGATTGAAGAGTAGAAATGGGATGACCTTGAAGTTTCCTTACAACTATAAGAACACAATAATATTTGAACAACTTATTTTGAAGTACAGAAAATGCAAACAATTTCAATGATCAAATTTGATTTTACATGAAATTTAAACTTAATTTTATGTCCATACTAAAGTTTCATTTAGAGATTTTTAAAATGTTATAATTGTCTAAAATACACTAACGTATTTCATCTGTGTTTAATTTCATTCATTTAAGGAATACATCGCCTTAAACAGAGTTTGCCAAAAAGGAAACCAGGATTCATGGCTAAATCATATGACCCAATAGCTCCTATAGCTGAAGAAATCAGTGAAGAAGCATGTCTCCTATGTTTTGATGAATTTCAGGTAAAGTAGAGATTTTTCATAGATATAGAATGATATACTGAATGAGGTATGAAGATTTAAATTTTGCTCTTGATTTTATCATTGTTTTATAAGGTGATTTGACACATTATCTCTTACTGCTTCAGTTTTACTATCTAGTTCAGGAGCTGGCAAATCACAACCTGCACAGCCGCACAGGGCAAATCTGACCTGCCTGTTTTTTTATGGTTAGTGAGAAAAGAAGAGTGTATACATGCATACATACACACACACACACACACACACGCGCACACACACACACACACACACGCACACACACATATTTTAAGAGACAGGGTCCTGCTCTGTTACCCAGGCCCAGGCTGGAGTGCAGTGGCATAATCATAGCTCATTATAACCTCAAACTCCTGGGTTCAGCCTCCTGCCTCAGCTTCCTGAGTAGCTGGAACTGTTGGCTCATACACCATACCTAGCAAATTTTTAAAAACAATTTTGTAGAGATTAGGTCTTACTATGTTTCCCAGGCTGGTTTCAAATCCTGGCCTCAAGTGATCCTCCAGCTTCAGCCTCCCAAAGTGCTGAAATTACAGTCATGAGCCATGACACCCAGCCAAGTTTTTGTAATTTTAAAGGTAGTTGAAAGAAGAAGAAGAAGAAGAAAAAGAAGAAAGTACAACAGAGACCCTATATGGCTTGCAAAGCCTAAAATATTTACTATTCAGTCTTTTATAGAAAAAGTCTGCCCACCTCTAAATTTTGGTTGATGATTGTACATCTCCCCTACACCACAAAGATAATCTAATTATCATAAAACAATGTCTTTAAAGATGTTTTAGTATTTTTTAAAAATGTTATATAAAGAACAAGTGATTCATCTCGTTGAAGCCTCACAACATACGTATCTGTGATAAAGGGAGGGAATTGCCTTAGTTGAACTTTCAAAGTTCCTCTTAGTTTTAGGATTGTCTGAAATTATGCATTTAAATTGGTAGTGAGTTATTTCCTGTTCTTCTGTGTTTTATAATCTGGATTAGTGGGGAGATGATATGGCCAAGATGCTTTTATCCCAAAGCATGCATGATTGGTTTCCTTTAGCAACTGGTACACATAGCTAACAATAGTCTAGATTTATGATGGAAGGGAAAGAATTTTCACCAGCAATGCTGTTACACTAATCCATCTAGGGAAGAGGGATCTTTGCTTCTTTCTTCCTTCAGTCATATTAAGACAGACTGGACTCACCTTTGTATTTAGAACTGCAAAGGTCTTCCAAGGAAAGGCTTTACGGAAAAGAACAGATGCTCTCCTGTCGTTCAGAAGAGGCATACTAATCACATCAATGTTTTGCAGGAAAAGAGCCTCACTGAGTTGTTTGAAAAAGCACTGACTTAACAGTTATGCTGCTTTCAAGAATAAAAGTCAGTGATGAATCAATAGCGGCCATTTCTCTTGATTTTTCCATTACTCGCCTTTTAACCAAAATATCTCTAAATAAAACTAAACTGGCATAGTTACAATTTTGATTAAGGTATTGAAGTTAAATTTTTAGAGAGGTGTATTAATACCTAGCCTTTGTAAAATGATCCGTAGTTTACAATGTGTTTTTACGTCCTTATCTTATTTAATTCTGCAAAATAGTTGATATCTCCACATGGAAATGAGAAATCTAAAGGCATTAGAATTTCCTAGGTATCATGTAAAAATCATTACCTTTAACTTTAAAAATGTAGATTCAAAACTTTCAGAAAAATGATTGGCTTTTTTACTTTTATTTTTATTTTTTTTTGAGATGGAGTTTTGCTCTTGTTGCCTAGACTGAAGTGCAATGGCGTGATCTTGGCTCACTGTAACCTCTGCCTCCTGGGTCAAGTGATTCTCCTGCCTCAGCCTCCTGAGTAGCTGGGATTGCAGGTGTGCACCACCATGCCCGGATAATTTTTTTGTATTTTTAGTAGAGACGGGTTTCACCATGTTGTCCAGGCTGGTCACGAACTCCTGACCTCAGGTGATCCACCCGCCTCGGCCTCCCAGAGTGCTGGGATTACAGGTGTGAGCCACCACACCTGGCCTGATTGGCATGTTTTTATGGCATAAGCGTTATTGGAAGGCAAGACTAAGAAGGTTAGGATGCTATGAAAATCTGACTGTGCAAAGCAGATACACAGCAAGCAGGGCAACTTGCCCAGTTGGTGCAGCAGACACAGTGTCTGGGGCTCATGATACTTTTAGGGATCAAGAAAACATTTTAATTTCTTTTAAAATTTGAGGACATAAATGAATATATCAATAATGACTCCAGCCTCTATCTGTCTATTCTGTATTATATTTGTCCTTATACCAACATAGTCGTAATGTTTTTTTATTTGAGGATGGGGCTCATGAAAGTAAAAGTTCCTAGGGCTTACAGGAGTCATAATGCCACCTTAATAGTGAAGTCCTACCAGAAACCTGCCTGGTTGTGCTGACATACTCCATTGGGTTCAGATTTCAAAAGGTTGATATGTTAGAAAGAAGGAAACAAAAACAACTGTCAGGACACTATCGTTCCAAATGAACTGAGTCTTGCAAAGAAATGCAGGTCACAGAAAGGATTTTTCAGATTACATATTGAGTGTAAGAGAGATCCAGGGGAAACAGGCTCTTATAAAATGCTGCTTGCTGATGGAGAGAAAGCAGATGTTATAGAGATCCCTGTTATTGCCTGCCCTGTCCAAATTGCTTTGATATTTATTCATTCATTGACTCATGCATCTCAGTTGCCTTGAAGGCCCTTATTCCATATCAGAGGACAGGGCCCTATCTGTCCCACAGCTAAATGGACCATGCCTGGACAGCTGATCTATAAGTAGTTAATCCACAATCTTCTCAGCAACCTTGGACTTGTATGGTGTGGCTTGGCAAATGGGCCAGTCTTAGCCCCTCTCTAATGAATTTGAATTAAATGGCACAGAGGGAAGCTCTTCTTACTAATGAAACAGAAACAAAGAAATATAGAAAGTAATTGAATCACTTTAAGGGAAAGAGCACTAGAGCACTCCCTAGACAGCTGCTGAGCTCTCCATAGCAACCTCCAATTCCAAGCCAAACCCCATAAGGTGCCATCAGTATTGTCGCTATCCTGGAGTTTCAAGTAAATCTTTTTTCTTCAGCTCGATCTCCGGTGCCTATTTCTTACAAATAGTCTTGATGAGAATAGAACTATTCAAGTCGTATTTTGCTCCTATCTGCTGTGAAGATGTATTTCCCTGTGATCTGTAAAAGATAACATAAACATTGGTAAGAAGTACTGTGAGGAAATGTCACTTTCCTTAATATGAAATCTGTTACCTCCAGTGGAAAGAGAATTAACTGATGAGCTAAAGCCCAGGAAGAGAAAGATGAGGTATCTGCTAGGAATGCTTTTGGCCACAGGAAACAGAAAACCCAAATTAAAACGGCTTGTACTCCAATGGGGAAATACTCTGTTATATAAGGTAGTGTCATTTTCCTTGCTCAAACCCTTCTACTTCCTCTCTAACCTTGTCTCCTACAGGTTCAGCCTCACTCATTGCTCCCTACCTTCTTCATAGATTCAATCCTATTTTCTTCATAGGTTAAGGAACCGCAGTTAGTAGTTGGGTATTATGCCAACTACTTATTTCCCGCAGGGCTCTGAAGAAAACATGCACAGAGATGACAAAACAAGACAATACCAAATTGATTGCTTTCATTTGATCCCAAATTTTAGTGTAGCATGTTTTTTATTTTTTCCCCCCATTCCCAATTATTGCATAATATAGCATTCTTGTATGTTAAGAATTGACAGTATGGGAGACCCTATTCCCCTGAGCAAGTTTGACCTGAATATCCTAGAATGCAAAATGTTAATAGTCTTGCTCTTTTATTTCCTTTACAATTCCAACTTGAATCTTGGAGATTACTACTGCATTCAAGAAAAGACCGATATCTGCATATACCCAGTGTTAGAAGAGCCAGAGAAAATGAAAATATAAGGGCAAGAGTGTGCCCCCTAAGGGAAGAAGTGATCTCTGCTAGTTTCAGTATCCTGAACTGTCTTCTTCAGGTCTTAAAGAAGTTTCTCCAATACACCAAAATTAGATGATCACAAGTCCAAATCTCTACTTATCCCCCTTCCCTAAAACTCAAGAGGGTGAAATATACTCCAAAATGTTGCTGCGCCAGCACTCTGATCCCCACCAACCACACAATTTATAACGAACAAGCAGAGCCTTTGCACTGGGCATTCTTTCTGCACAGAGTGGTCCCTCTGTTCTGAGAGCCCCCAGCTAAATTGGGGTTCCAGCACCAGAGCGGCTGGCAACCTTGCCCTAACAGGAAATTCAGGGAGCTGGATATAGGTGTTTACAGCTTGCCTTTCACAGGAAACTTCTTTCACCTGGAGAACGGCCTGATGCCTGGTTGTCTGACCCATGACCAAGGAGTCCCTCACACAGGCAGCTTGTTTATACTGGCATATGCCTTTGTGGCTCTTGTCTGACTTATGTCCAGTTTATGCCGTCTGACCATTGCTTTGGCACTGGGAGCCTGATGTTGTGTTCTTCCTGGCATCCCAGGAAAATCCTGGCCTGGGGCAGACCCTGGTTCTTCAGAGGGAAGGTGCAAGTCAATACACCACTACAATAGAAAATAAGTTCAAAGACTGATTATTACAGATGCTGGGCAGGGAGGGAGCAATGAGTCGGAAGGCCAGTCCTTCGTCCCTGGTCACAGGAGGCAGTAATGAAGAGTCAGGCAGAAAGAGAGTATGGCAACTAGCAGCATGCATGTATATGTGTATTTTATATATATGTAGGAATAGGATGTGGCTAACTATGCTTGTGAGCAAAAGCCTGAATGGTTTGTTTAAAGTAAAGGAAGCAACAGGAAAAGTGAGGAGCTCCATCTTGTAAGCAAGAGCTATGCCTCTAAGCTCTTATCTCTGGCCACAGGCTTAAGCCATTGGGTTCTACTTTTAATGCCTAGGCAGCAACTGGTGCTGTCGGGTTTCCCTCATACTCTTACATATTCCTAAGAGCAACTCCCTCATTTCTTCTTGTCTTTGCTCAGTTACATCCTTAACAAGGCCCATTTTAATACCCTATTTGAAATTGCAGCTTACCATTGACCTCCACGCTTCTGATGCCCCTTACCCACCTTTTTTCCCATATCATATATCACCTTTTAACATATTATATGTAATTTACTTATTTATTATGTTTATTATTTATCTGTATTCCCAGAATGTAAACTTGAATGCATGAATCTTTATTAATTGATGCATCTCAGGTTTCTAGAACAGTGTCTGGGCCGGGCGCGGTGGCTCAAGCCTGTAATCCCAGCACTTTGGGAGGCCGAGACGGGCGGATCACAAGGTCAGGAGATCGAGACCATCCTGGCTAACATGGTGAAACCCCGTCTCTACTAAAAAAATACAAAAAACTAGCCGGGCGAGGTGGCGGGCGCCTGTAGTCCCAGCTACTAGGGAGGCTGAGGCAGGAGAATGGTGTGAACCCGGGAGGCGGAGCTTGCAGTGAGCTGAGATCCGGCCACTGCACTCCAGCTTGGGTGACAGAGCGAGACTCCGTCTCAAAAAAAAAAAAAAAAAAAGAACAGTGTCTGAGAATGAATGAATAAGTAGTGAATAAATGAATGAATGAATGAGTTCATATTAAGTCCCACTCCCCTTCCATATAATAGCATTTCTCAAGCAAAATCAGCATTAACAGAACCCAAAATCAGCATTTACAGAATAATATGGCTGATTTTTTTCATGTTTGTTTACATACTAGTTAAATCCATCTTTTATGAACTATTTGAGGTATTGCCCATGTATTTACTAGAATGCTTATATTCCATCTATTATATATGCTCTATAATATTAGTTACTGTTTATTGAGTGTTTTTCTATGTGCCTGTGTTCTTAATAACTGTATAATGCTAAATATAATTCTAGCTACAGCTAAAATTCTATGTAGCTGTACATTAATAATACAGAATTATATTAATACTAGAATATATATCATACATAGGTAATAGTGAAAGTTAATAGTCTCTCATTTCTTGAGAGTTTACTTTATGTCTCATAACAATATTGCAAGGTAGGTATTATTACTGCTTTTGTTGCATTGATGAGGAAATTGAGGATCAGAGAGGTTCAGTAACTTGACCAAGGTCACACAGCTGGTAACTAGCAGTTTAAGCCCAGCACTAATGCTCTTGTTTACCAGTAACAGCTATGCTATACGTTTTCCTTGGTATATGAAGAGTCTTGTATTATGTGTTTAAATATACAGTTCTAGAGCTGGGTGGAGTTTTGGTAGATGTTTTAGTGGTGGAGCCTAAAAATTATCCTTAGGCCTATTAAACCTAGTACAATACTTGCTGATTTATTAGGAAAGAATTTTTGAGGCACTTTATTCTTAGCGACAGTATATCTATCTACAATCACCACTTCACTTTTAAAATGGAATTGTATTAGTAGCCTTGATTTTTAGCTAGTTATTATTGGCCTTTAGGTGGTGTTAATTAATATAATATTTATTTTACTAGGGAGATGAATGGTAATTTTTGCTGCTTAAAAACATGGATATACTCCTTTTTTGTGCTCTTGAATTTAAGGAATTTTAAAGATTATGTTTTGGTAAGCATTCAGATTACACTTGCAGAATGTTCTTCATTAGCTTGGTCTTCCTTACTAAGTGTAGCATTTCAGCTTTTTTAAACTTTTATTTTAGGTTCAGGGGTATGTGTGCAGGTTTGTTATAGAGGTAGACATGTGTCACAAGAGTTTGCTGTACTGATTATTTCATCACCCAGGTATTAAACCTAGTAGCCAATAGTTCTTTTTTCTGCTCTTCCCCTTCCTCCCACCCTCTACGCTCAAGTAGGTGCATTGCAGTTTTGCCTGAGGTGTTAGATACTCGATTCTTATCTTGGTTGAGAAATGTGTTTGGATAGGTTGTTTTTTTTTAATGTGTTTTGGTTAGTGAAATAAATAATAGCTTATCTTCAGAGTTTTCCTTAGGATCTTCATTATGTCCTCTTGGAATATTTATGTTACATGTTAAACTGTTTATGTTCTGAAGACATCAGATTAGTGAGGAAAACTGATTTTTAAAAATGTTATTTCTTCATATCTCTTCTGAGAGGGACACTGAATAGATGTTTTACTAATACCGGTCCAGAAAAAAAAAAAAAAGAATTCTGATGAGCAGAAGATCATGCAAAATTCTCCTCTATAAGCTATCAATATCATTTAAAAAATAGTTTTAACTATTTTTATGAAGCAGGAAGAAAGCTATTAAAAACTGCTAATAAAAGCTAGGTGCTTATTTTTGTGCTAATCCTAATTACTGATAATGCATGCTTATGTTTGTCACTCATTATATGGCACCGTACCAATCAGTGGATGACTGAGACTCAAGCACTCACACATGTAAATTCACCATTAGATTTTTTTTTTTCCTTTTTTACTTAAGTGAGTCATAATGGAAAGCAACTCTAGGTTATAAAAAAATCTTTTCTCTTTAATGCTAATGAAATGTCTCCACTCTCTGTATTAGCAGACTACCCTTATTGGTAATCTGTAGCCTTCTCTTTTGTTCGTGGTGGTAATGAAATGCTGGATACTGAAAAAGCCAGCTCTCCAAGAATGTGTGGCCAATTGTCTTCTGTTCACTTATACTGTAAAATTACTGTTCCCCGGCAAGGCTGAACAAGTGCGGCGACAAGATCAAAAGAGTATACACTGGCACCCAGCTACACCAAGTGACTCCTGCTTTATTAATTAGTCATAGCTTCTCCAAGCTAATTTGCTCTGATAGGGCAAAAACGTTCTGAAATATAAAAACAGCAAATTATAACTCAACCACAAGCCTTTACTGTTGGCTTTCTTCAACTTTCAGTTTAAACCTTTGCATTGTGTCATAAGCTAAATGTCCCTTCAGTTTTCTAAACCTTAGGGCACAAAAGCTATTTTACATTTTTTTCAAAGACATTAATGATATAGTCAAATGACCATTTTTATTCTCTAAAATCGGGCAACCTTTCATTGATATTGTTCTTTTAAAAAGTCAGTGTATTGGCAATGTAATTTAAAAGTGCAGTTACTATTAAAATGTGCAAGCTCGTTCTGTCCTCTCATCAGAAATGCCACTGGTGTTCAGGCATTTGAAAAGGACTTTCTCTGTCAGTGTTTTTGCGGAAGCCAAATTTGACAGTGATCCTAAACTCTAAATTAAATAATATCAGCACCGCTTTCCTTTTCATTTAATCACCATTTTGAAGTTCCCGAAGTCTTTTTAATGTAAGGAATCTTTAGCAGTTTTTTAGTTATAACTTGAGACAGCAAAAATAAATAAATAAAAAATAAAAAAAAATAAAAAAATACATCCCTATTTCATGGTTTTGTTTTCAGGTGGGAAAGAAATAATTAAAACTTTGAGTAAGATATTAGCTGTAAAAAGAAAAGTGATTTAGACTTGTGCAACCCAGGTTATTGTTAATTGCATTATAACCATTCAGTTTGTAACTTTTAGGATTTTGATTTAATTGAAAGAATTCACCAATTTTTATGTCCTCTAATGGGGCTTAAAAATAACGATGTACTATATCTTGTGGATATATGTAAAGCAGGTTGTACTGAGATTATTTGAAATGCGCTATCAAAGACAGATGAAGACATTTTTACACTGGGAGTATCTAAAGCCCATGTTGTTACGTACTTCCAATGATTGATGTCCATCTTCGTTACAAATTTATTTTTGGAGTCAACTTCTTTCTCTCCTTAATTGTTGTCTTTCTTTGTGAATTTTAAAAGCCTTTAGAGAAAGTTATATCATTAAGCTTACTTCATAATTGTGAATTTAAAAAACAATTTTAGAAAAGACCAATAATTATATTTCTCTGTAACCTCACTTGGATGGAATAGTTTTATCTGTATTATGCATTTCTAGTATTGTCACAAGTTATTTTTTTAAGGGACTATATTAGCCATTCTTGAAAGGTGGTTTTGTTTTTGGTGTTTTTTTTTTGGTAGAAGGAATATTTGTGTTTGTGAAGGTTAGCAGAGGCTGGCTGTGCTGGAAGTGACTGCAGTGCCTTTTGATTATTCATGGACAGTAATAGAAGGCACTTAAAAAGAACAATGAAATTGCTTATTTTTGTGATGGGCCATCTGTTGAATTGTTTTGTGCAACAATTGCACAATAGTATCTATGTCATATCATTCTATTTTCAACAGCAGCTGATTATGTCTCACTGGCTACTTGTCCTTATTTCTAAAGTCCCATGACCATTTAAAGTCACCTTTCCAGGGACCTTTGCCAGAAAGGTATTAGAAATCTCAAACAGCCTGTGTATTTTATTATTATTATTTTTTTTTCATCTCTCTTTTTTTGGGGGGGTTGGGAAACGGGTGGGAAGTGGAGGAGGGTGTTGGTCATGTTAGTTCTAATTAATTAGACTTCCTAAATGTTTAGGACAATTATCTATGCTTTCCACCTGTAGTTCTATAAAAGAAGTTATCATAGAACCATTTGGTAATTTGTGTAGAAATGATAGGCTTGCAAAAAAGAAGAGTCAAGTTTAAAAGGCTGCTATACAGTGTTTCATGATTTTAATTATCTACTCTTTTCTTCATGATGATAATTAGAATTTTTCTCTTGGAATTTACTTCCATCTTAAAAAAAAGATGATCCATTAGCAAATTTGTTAGAGCAGAAGTGAAATTAAAATAAAACAAATATGTTGTTGTCAATAGGTCACTGACATTGCTGATGCCATGATTCTGAAACAGCTTTTTGAAAATCTGTTCAAAAACGGGGTCGTCGTTGTGGCAACATCCAACAGGCCACCGGAAGGTAAAAACAAACATTGTACTAGTCTCATCCAATTAGATGGAAACTAACAAGCTTTTAAAAATCCATAATTTTGTACTAAATTTATTGTGTTAGTAAATCTGATGACTTTGCTTATTACTAGTTTTATAACTGGCTTAATCTGAAAAATCAGTTGCTATTTGTATTTGAAAAGTTATATATTCTTAGCAAGCTAAATCCAGTTGATTCCCAGGTTTGGTGCACTTGCTGTTTTTTTGTGTTTTTTTCCCCTAAATATTAGATATGTCATATGTGCTTATAAAAAAAATGCAGGCCTTTTGGACTGCTTTTTATGGGCCATGAAAGAAACTCAACTAAATGAAAGACAAAACTCATAATTAAATTTTAGAAAAAGAACGAAAACTTCCTTGCATGAATAGTTTCTAATACTTCACTTAAATTATCATTTCTAAAAAAGCACTTGTGGCTTATTAAGAAAGTACTTACAAATTAAAATACAAGTAATATTTAGATTAAAAACAAGTTTAAAATCTTGCATCTTTCAGCCCATCATGTGCTCAGTTAAAGGTCTAAGAAACCACAAATATTTCCTGAGAGATTTAATGGGAACATCTTTCTGCCTGGAGTGCTGTTTCTCCAGATACCTGCATGGCTAAGCCCTCACCTCCTTTGTCTTTGCTCAGAAGTTACATTGCCAGTGAAGCCTAGACTTGTCTCCCTGAACCTGTGTTCATCCCTTTCTTCTTGGTACTACTTCCCTTTACCCTGCTCTCTTTTTTACCCATAGCACTATGGATCTACCATATAATTTACTTATTTATTTATTTATTTATTTATAGTTTATTATCTGTTCCCTTCCAGGATACAAAAGCTTCATGAGGGCAGTGATTTTTATCTCTTCTGTTCTCAAATGTGTTCTCAGCACCTATAACAGTGTCTTACACATAGATGGTTCTCAGTAAATAGTCTTAGAATGAACACTGGATGATTGCATGTTTTAAAAAGATCTCTCTGGCTGCAGGATTGAGAATAGAGTGTGGGTATGGGGTTTCAGAGTTAGAAGTAAGGAGACCATTTAGGAGACTACGGCAACAATCCCAAGGGGAGGTAATGGAGGAGTAAAGTGATGAGAAGAGGGTAGGTTCTGATATACTGTATAGGCAGAGTCAGCAGGATTTACTGATGGAATGGATCTAGGGTATGACAAAAGAGAGAGGGATCAAGAGTAACTCAAAGGTTTTGGCCTGAGCAATTGGAAGGATGAAGTTGCTGTTTACTGAGATGGGGAAGACTACAGAAAAAGCAGATTTGGGTAGGGAGGTGGAGGTAGGCGTTTCTGTGGTGACAAGGGGGATGCATATGAGAGTTTGGACTTCATTGGAAAAGTCTGGGCTGGAGATGTACATTTGGAAGTCATCAGTCTTAAAGGAGGCAGGAAAGAGCAGCTGGTGAGGTAGGAGGAGAACCAGGAGAGTGTCAAGCGAGGAAAAGAAAAGTAGTAACAAAAGGATTGATGAATACTTCTGTTAAATGCTGCTACAAGCTGAAATGAGGTTGAGAATTAACCATTGCAATTAGTAACATGGAATTCATTAGTGAGTCTGAAAAGAGGAATGTCATAGTGGGAACTTTTTTTTTAAAGTAAGCTGTGCCACATTGATGGCATATATTGAATTTAAAATTGCTAACAGACCAAGATCTTACTATGTAGCCTGCTGTGAAACTAGGTCTCTCTCATTCTATGTTTGTGTAGTGAATTTCTTTTTCTTCATATCACATTTCAACTTATTAGTCTATGTTGTTCCATTTTATTGATTTTTATTGAAGTATTTTTTATTTTTGTTTTTTGTTTTTATTTATTTTTGTTTTGCAAATGGAGTATGTTTGAAGTATTTTTGAAGTATGATTCTAACATAATTTTTTTTTGGCTATCCCTACTATGACATTTATACATTTGATAATCATATTTATATATCTTTAGCCATTTCTTAATTAAAATGTGTAAATCAGATAGGACTAAATTAAGTTACTTGTTGCATACCACTGGAGGCCTTGTCTTAGGAAGACATCAATTAACTAATCACCACTTTTTGGACCCAGTTATTCAAACAATTATAGTTATACCTCATCCATTGTACTACAAAAGAATTATGAGTGATTTTGCAGATGTACTTATTATAAAATCCATATAATGTTATATACAGCATTCTTGTGATTAACTAGTGTTAGCAACCCTATGAGCCAAGGGAGTGAGCTTTTTAATATTAGATCTTCTATCTAGGTGGAAGTGAAGCTTGTCTCTACGACAGCTGACATGTTGATTTGACAGTGGCATCAGTATTACCTTTAGACATTCAGTGACAAACTATGCTCATAAATAGCAAAGAGCTAGAATAATTTTGGAAGCCCTGTAGCAAAGACTGCTGAAAGGATAATTAGGCTGCTTAGACTATGGCAGTGTGGTTAACTAACTGAGAAAGGACAGCCACCAGGAGGGGTAAAGGAATATTTTGCAGCTCCTAGTTTTGTAGGAGTGAACAAAGCTACCGGTGTATCGGGTAACCTGCAGAAATCTGAGCTGGAGCCACCCTTCTGGAGAAGACTGAAAGTTCAAGATGCGGAATTGCAAAAACTGGACAAACTTAGAGAAAGCCTTTTCTAAATATAAACTGTGGAAGGAATGGGATGCTTGTCATAGACCAGGTTTTTTAGCCACAGCAGACAATCATCATAAATAACTTAATATTTTAATGTAATGAAGATGACGTATATGTGTGTGTGTGCATGTGTGTGTATATAATTTTATTCATGGAGAAAAAGACTCAGAGAGACTAAGCATATCAGGAAAAGGTAAAACTATAAGACGAAGAATGGAGCAGTGATTGCCAAGGTCCGGGGTGAGGAGGTGTTTGACTACAAAAGGGCAGCTTCAGGATGCAACTGCTGCATCCTAATTATAGTGGTGGTTACATGTGCTAAAAACATAGAACTGTAGGCCAAAAAAAGTTACATATTATATGTAAATTAAAAACAAATCACATGGATAGTGAATGACAGAACAAAGACTAGAACTTAGGTTTTGTGACTCTTTTTACGCATTTGTTTTCGATCTTTTTGCCTTATGGTCATCACTGATCTCTGTCTATCCTGTCCCAGAGAAAGAATGTCCTTTTATTAAAACAGCAACTCAAAGTACTACATTAGAAAAAGGTAGGGAGGGGGAGAAGAAAAAAAAGAAGAGTGTCCTCTTTTCCAGCCATCAAAATGCATTCACCTTTTTTTTTTTTTTTTTTTTTTTGAGACAGAGCCTCGCTCTGTTGCCCAGACTGGGGTGCAGTGGTGCGATCTCGGTTCACTGCAACCTCTGCTTCCTGGGTTCAAGCGGTTCTCCTGCCTCAGTCTCCCAAGTAGCTGGGATTACAGGCACCTGCCACCTTGTCCAGCTAATTTTTTGTATTTTTAGTAGAGACAGTGTTTCACCATGTTGGCCAGGCTGGTCTTGAACTCCTGACTTCAGGTAATACACCTGCCTTGGCCTCCCAAAGTGCTGGGATTACAGTGTGAGCTACTGCGCCCAGCCCCAGATCGATCGATCGATCTGTCTATCTATCTATCTATCTATCTATCTATCTATCTATCTATCTATCTATCCATCCATCTTTTAAAATAGAAGCAACTTCTTAGACTGCTACAAGAGCTGGGAGAGGGTTGAGGCAAAGCTGAGTGGCTGGAGATAGAATGACCCATTTGAGGTAGCCAGTGGGGCTAGAGTGGAGAGTGAGGGGGAGAAGGATGCAGTAAAGTACAAGTTGAATCTGTAGAGGTAAGAGCTACACCTTGTAGCAATAATAAGGATTTTGGATTTTATTCTAAGAGAAACGCTAAGCCATTGAAGCTTATCTTAAGCAGGGACTGACGTGATCTGAGTTGGAAATACCCTTCTGGCTGTAGTTTGGAGAACAGGTTACTAGATGGGGTATAGTAATATGGTGCATGCAGGGAGACATATTAGGAAGCTGTTGTAGCACACTAGACAAGAAATGAATATACTTTGGTATAAGGGTATAAGGCAGTGATTCTCAACGAGGGGCCTCTTTTGCTCACCAGGGAATATTTGGTAACACCCGAGACATTTTTGGTTCTCTCACCTGGTGGGAGAGGGCTGCTACTGGCATCTAATAGGTAAAGGCCAGGAATATAGCCAAAGTATCCTATAATGTAACCCCTGCAACAAAGAATTATGTAGCCAAAAATGTCAGTAGTGCCTAAGTTAAGAAACCCAGGTACAAGGTGATGGCAATGGATATGGAGAGAAGGACAGTTTTGAGAGAGATTTAGGAGGTGAAGTAGACAGCACTTGGATATAGGTTAGATACTGGGGAAAAAGGAAAGGACACTTTCTAACTTTCTGAGTTGTACAGCTGGGTAAATGGTGTGTCTGCCATTCAACAGAGACAAGAAACTAGCGGTTAGGAGTCTAGAAAATAATGCCTGATGGAGAAGAACACACATATTTTTTTTTCTCTATTAATCCTTTAGCCCTTCTGTTTAATTCCTTCTGCTTCATTCATCTCATTCCCTCCATTTCTACTTATAATGCTTCAATTTCCTGGGCAAGAATGGATGGTTGTTGGTGATGCGGGCTACAATCATAGCCTAATCAGTTAATAATTTATTGTTTATAATAACTTAATTTATTGTGAATTTATAGACAAATTAACTTTAATTTTAATATAAAATTGTGAGGAATATTTACTCATTATTAATTTTAATAGAAAATAATTGGTGGTCATGTAAAGCAACACCAAGTTTAGGAACCTAAGAGAGTAAATAACTCTGGAGTGGAGTGTCTCGGAAGGTCTTGTAGAAGAGAAGGGGAAGTCATACTTGAGGCGGGTGGAGGGAATAAGGGACCAAAGACTGCTGTCCTGCACTTCACTGTTTTTTCTAGCTCTAACTTCCAGTTCATGCCTTGTTTGGGTCCAAGGCCTTACCCTCTGTACACCATGCAGCTGTTAAAA